ACTTACATACATTATACTGAGGTAGACAATATAAGACTACCTAAAAAATGTAATGGTTTTTTTTTCACTTATGTTATTTTTTTGGTTGTTTCGTCATAATTACTCTAGAGTTAACTGATCATGGAAATACCGTGTATAAATATGTCAACATGACTCAATCTTTGTCGCCAAGAAAACATCCTGTACATAGCACCTCGCTATGGACGGGCAGAACTGGATAGAATGTGGACGGGAAAAACTCAATTCTGCCAACGTTTCGCCTCTGACGTAACTGGGGTCGGTCTGGAAAACCCTGCTGGGGTCAACTCATCACCGAAGGATTGTCTGTGTGTTTATTTATAAACAGGAATTATGATGAGTTAAAGGGGAGTAAGTCTTGAATCAAAAGCAAAACGAAAGTTAGAGCTGGCTTTTCTATCTGTCACACAAATAGATATAGAAAGTGTTGTTGTTTTTTTTTTTTTTTACAGAGTGAGAAGAGTGCGCATGTACGTTGTCTCAAGTAGACATAGATGGAGGTCAATGTAACCCCATTTTGTATTACGTCACAGGTCACCAGCATGATAGTGACCTACATTTTACAACGTAAAAATTTCAGCACTGTTATATTCAATATGATGCGACTTGTTTTATCCTTTCGCTTTTTTTTTTTTATTAATTTTTTTTTCTTTTAAAACTGGTCTGAACAAATGAAACAAAATAAAGTAAACAAATAAATAAACTACATTGGCATTGCTAAATTAGAAAATCGTGATTATTGTTCTCATGCATTCTATTTCCAGTTTTTTTTTAACTCACCAGTTCAAAGGTCATAAGTCATGATAGATTGACGTGTCCTTTAGAAAAAAAAACGAAACAATTGCATATGATTTCACATAACAACCCCACCCGCCCCCCTCCACCACCACCATCACCCCTACACACCATGACACCAACAAAGGAAACGCACCGTTAAACCAGTCACCATGGGCGCCGAGTCAGATAGACCTAGTTACACGCATGAAATATTTCGCCATTCAGACCCTTGCATACCATTACACAGTACCAAACAACCAGACTAAAGCTAGATCTAGATCTAGACGATTACTAGTCTAGACTAGAGCTAAGTTGAGACGATTACTAGACTAGACTGGCTATATCTAGACTATTACTAGTCTAGACGTAATCTAGATCTAGATGATAACACTCGTGTAGATTAGATATAGATCTGTGATTAAAAGTCTAAACTAGAAATAGATCTACTAGTCTAGACTAATAAATCTAGATGATTACTAGTCTAGCCGAGAGCTAGATCTGTGATTACTAGTCTAGAGATAGATCTGTGATTACTAGTCTAGACTAGAGATAGATCTACTAGTCTAGACCAGAGATAGGTCTACTAGTCTAGACTAGAGATAGGTCTACTAGTCTAGACTACAGATAGATCTGTGATTTCTAGTCTAGATTAGAGATAGATCTGTAATTACTAGTCTAGACTAGAGATAGTCTGTGATTACTAGTCTAGACTAGAAATAGTTCTACTAGTCTAGACTAGAGATAGATCTGTAATTACTAGTCTAGAGCTAGATCTGTGATTATAAGTCTAGACTAGAGATAGTTCTACTAGTCTAGACTAGAGATAGTTCTGTGATTACTAGTCTAGATTAGAGATAGATATGTGATTACTAGTCTAGATTAGAGTTAGGTCTGTGATTACTAGTCTAGACTAGAGATAGATCTACTCGTCTAGCCTATAGATAGATTTGTGATTATAAGTCTAGACTACAGCCAAGAGCTTCTTAATGTGGGTATTGTCACTATATTATCTCTCTATTCTGATAAACAAAATCGATGATTACTCGAGTTGTTGTTTTTTTAAACTACCGTGGCCCGAATATGTTTGTATACCTAGTGTCTATATCTAGATTGCTAGGTTTGGCTGACCTATTGGGTTAACTGACCCCGAAAAAAATTATTTTTGCTGACCACTGGGACTTTCTCAGTCACAAAATAACTTTTGCTGACCTCTATAATTAACAACCCAAAGAATGAATTAATGAACAGAGGGATTTACTGGCCACCAAAAATGGTATTCGCTAGCCACGGAAGTAGTATATTAGGTCACTTTTGGTTATCATGGGTGAGCAGGAGCAGGAGCAGGAGCAGGAGCAGGAGCAAAGGCTATATAGGAAAATACTCACCCAGCCTGGGACAATGACATATAGCAAAATACTCACCCACCAGGCGCAGCCTGCCGCAGCCTGGGACAACGAGATATAGTAAAATACTCCCTGGGGGAGCAGGAGGTACACCGACATATAGTAAAATACTCACCCATCTGGGTGAGGGTGGGTGAGCAGGTGGCGCAGCCTGGGACAATGACATATAGGAAAATACTCACCCACCTGGGTGAAGGTGGGTGAGGGTGGGTGAGCAGCCTGGGACAATGAGATATAGTAAAATACTCACCCACCCTAGGGTGGGTGAGCAGGTGGGGGAGTAGGTCAGTAGGTCACCACCGGTGACCTTGTGACGTAATTAGTAACATTACGACGTAATCATTGACCTAGTTACGTAATTTTAATGAGTTTTTTAATTAGTTTTAATGAGTTTTTAAAATTTTAATTAATTTTATTATCGAGTTACGTAATTTTAATGAGTTTTTAATGAGTTTGAATTTAATTACTTTGTTTGTGTTTTGTTTGTTTATTTTTAATAAGTTTAATTAATTCGATTTTTTATTTATTTTGTATTTGTTTGATTTTAACTTTTTAATTATTTTTATTTTGTTTATTTTTAATTTAATTATTTTATTTTTAATAAGTTTAATTAATTTGATTTTTATTTATTTTGTATCTAGTTACGTAATTTTAATGCGTTTTTTAATGAGTTTGAATGAGTTTTTAAAATTTTAATTAATTTTTTGACCTAGTTACGTAATTTAATGCGTTTTTTAATGAGTTTGAATTTGTTTGTTTAAATTTTATAGTTGTTTATTTATTATGTTTTGTAATTTTTATTAACGAGTTACGTAATTGGATTATTTGTTTGATTTTAATTAATTTGATTTTAATTACTTTGTTTGTGTTTTGTCTGTTTATTTTTAATAAGTTTAATTAATTTGATTTTTATTTAAATTTTTAATTTTTTTTTTTTTTTTTTTTTTTTTTTTTTTTTTTAAATTTTATTTTATAATTAGTAATTATTTTAATTTGATTATTTGTTTACTTTTTAATTATTTTTATTGACGAGTTACGTAATTTGATTATTTGTTTACTTTTTAATTATTTTTATTTTGTTTATTTTTAATTTTATTTTATTTTATAATTAGTTAAATTATTATTAACTAGTTACGTAATTTGATTTTAATTACTTTGTTTAATTTATTTATTTGATATATTTCTTTTCTTTGTTGTTTAATTTGTTGGTTTGTTTATTTGGTTGTATGTATGTTTTAAATTCTCCCCTACAACGACCGTGTACAAAAAACAGGTTAAATTCTCCGCCACAACAAATGCCCGCTATTAAGCAACCACGGGGAGCGCCGGGAGGCTCACGGGCGGATCGATAAGTACAAGCTGTCGCTAATAAGTAACAGCTGTGGTTAAATGGATGTTATACACAATGACACTTTCTAGTACACGCTAGTGTTAGTCTTTTATTTCAAACGGCGTACAACAAAGAAATTAAAAGCAAACTAATTAAAATGAATTTCAAACAAATAAATTATACAAAGTAATTAAATTAAACAACAAGTAAACAACAATTAAAAATAAAATTTAAAAATAATAATTTTAAAAAATTTTAAAAATTAAAAAAAATTAAAATCAAATTACGTAACTCGTTAATAATAATTAAACTAATTATAAAATTAAATTAAAAATTTAAAAATTTAAAAAATTAAAATCAAATTAATTAAAATGAATTTCAAACAAATAATAAATTAAAATAATTACGTAACTCGTTAATAAAAATAATTAAAAAGTAAAAAAAAAAAAAAAAAAAAAAAAAAAAAAAATAATCAAATTACGTAACTCGTTAATAAAAAATTACACAATATAAACAAAGTAATTAAATTAAACAACAAGTAAACAAACAAATTAAACAAAATAAAAATACAATCAAAGTAATTAAATTACGTAACTCGATAATAAAAATTAATTAAAATTTAAAAACTCAAACAAATAATCAAATTACGTAACTCGTTTATAAAAATTAATTAAAATTTTTAAAACTCATTAAAACTAATTAAAAAACACATTAAAATTACGTAACTCGATAATAAAAATTAATTAAAAATTTAAAAACTCATTAAAACTAATTAAAAAACACATTAAAATTACGTAACTAGGTCAATGATTACGTCATAATGTTACTAATTACGTCACAAAGTCACCGGTGGTGACCTACTGACCTACTCCCCCACCTGCTCACCCACCCTAGGGTGGGTGAGTATTTTACTATATCTCATTGTCCCAGGCTGCTCACCCACCCTCACCCACCTTCACCCAGGTGGGTGAGTATTTTCCTATATCTCGTTGTCCCAGGCTGCGCCACCTGCTCACCCACCCTCACCCAGATGGGTGAGTATTTTGCTATATGTCGGTGTACCTCCTGCTCCCCCAGGGAGTATTTTACTATATCTCATTGTCCCAGGCTGCGGCAGGCTGCGCCTGGTGGGTGAGTATTTTACTATATGTCATTGTCCCAGGATGGGGGAGTATTTTCCTATATATCCTTTGCTCCTGCTCCTGCTCCTGCTCCTGCTCCTGCTCACCCAGCGCCTGCGCCTGCGACCCAAAAGTGACCTAATATACTACTCACGTAATAAAACGGATATTACTTTAGTTGCCTAGCAACTAAACCAGAGATTCCCACGGAGTAAAAGCCTATATGCTGTATTAATCTGACTCACGGCCCCAATTTGAAGGGATAAAAATAACCACCGAAATTTGGAAACCACCCACAAGTCTTTGGGAAAACCATGGCGGATACTAGCCGTCTATAAAACGGCGAGCGATACTCATAGCCACATTAGCTGAGAGACATCTCATTGTACGCTGATAATATTATAGCAGAGATTACCACTTATAGTTCGAGAGAAATAAAATGAACACTTACTTGCCTTTAGCAGGTACTTATCTATTTTTTTATTGTATAGGGAGGAATTATACTAACAATTAAAGATTAGTTAACTCTGTATGCTTATAACGCTATATACTGAAATTACACGTGATTCGCTACATACTGGAAATCAGACATAATTCGCTAAATATTTAAATCAGTCATAATTCGTGGCATCAATTTTTATTTACTCTGATATTTAAACCGTACATTTAAAAAAATTCAATTTAATCTAGTGTTTCGCAAGTTGTTTTTTAGCTATAAATTACCTTTTGGTAGATGTGCATTAGTTTTCACTTTTTAAAAAAATATATATTCACATTTCTTTTATTTTTGTTTTCCAGTTGTCGCATTCTTCGGGTTCCTGCAACTTGGAACTGGCATGCAGTGCCAGCGACACCTAGAGGAATATTCCAATGTCACGTGGTCAGACGAAAGAAAAAGTGGCGCCATCGCGCGGCTGACAAGCTGCCTTATAACCAGCTACTACGCCATAGGCTCACCTTTCGGGGAGGAGTTCGCGCTGGCCATGGAAAGCGCGGCGAAAGACGGCGTCCAAAACATCTGCAAATGGAAAAGCTCTTTCGACGTGGTGACAAAAATCAACGAAGCCGTTGATGAAGATCTGATCGCTCAGGGTCAAGAGATGAAGATCCATGCGTTTGATTTCTTGATGAAAAACATCCAAAATAAGACGAAAGCTTGTGGGCAGCTTCCGGAATTGGTTTCGCTTCTGCTGGTAGAGAGCGGACTTCCGGCAAATAAAACGACCATACGAATGGGAACCTACCTACTCTCTCACTTCATTAAATCACGACTTAACATCCGCTGTAAACAAAATGATGCCAGAAAATATTTAAAAAGTCTGTGTTAGTTGCACGTATCACTGCAACTAAAACTCCTGGACAGTTTTAACCATACAATGACAGCATTAGTTCCAACAGATATTCAACACTTGTTGCAACTAAAACTACTGGACAGTTTTCAACCATACAATGATAGCGTTAGTTCCAACAGATACTCAATACTTGTTGATCTCCCCCTTCTTGGCTGTTTGGCTGGAAGAGAGTCAATGTTTGATGGATTTGTTGGGGTAAAAGTTCCTGAAAACTCCTTATCAATTCATCATTACCAGACGTACGACGCGTAGTGGAACAAAAATGTTGCGTAATTCAGATATTAAGGGCGTCGTAAAGGTACGGATCTCTCCAAATTGTGGGGCACATAATGTTGCGACGCCCTGTGTGAAATACACAGAGAAGAAAGAACAAAAGAGACATGACCTAAAGAAGGAAGTCTTCATTCGTGATGGTATTTATTCAACTAAACACCCAAAAACTGCTTATTCAATCGCAAAAGTATTATTCCGAAGAATTTTTTTTATAATACTTTGTTTTCCATAGTGTGACTAATTTATGTTTTTACTGTAAAAAATTGTACACTAATTTATTAACATATAATCTATGATGTACATACGCTTGTTTTAGAATTCGCTGTGAATTTTTCATGTACGCATTTTGTAAATTATTTTTTTGCACTTTTTGAAACTGATTTGCAAATTGCTAAGTTTTTATAGCGATGAATGTGATGTGCTTATAAAAGGAGGTATGTGGTGTGCTTACAAAAGGAGGTATGGTGTGCTTATGAAAGGAGGTATGTGGTGTGCTTATAAAAGGAGGTATGTAGTGTGCTTATAAATGGAGGTATGGTGTGCTTATAAAAGGAGGTATGTGGTGTGCTTATAAAAGGAGGTATGTGGTGTGCTTATAAAAGGAGGTATGTAGTGTGCTTATAAATGGAGGTATGGTGTGCTTATAAAAGGAGGTATGTGGTGTGCTTATAAAAGGAGGTATGTGGTGTGCTTATAAATGGAGGTATGGTGTGCTTATAAAAGGAGGTATGTGGTGTGATTATAAAAGGAGGTATGGTGTGCTTATAAAAGGAGATATGTGGTGGTTTGGCCTGCAGATTTTTCTAGTTGCCGTGTAAGCAAACACTGGTATAGAAATTTATAAGCTCTTTGAGCTTATAAGTTGACAGGTAAACCTGGAAGAGTGAGGTAAAGAAAGGGAGAGACAGAGATAGAGAGATACGTGACCTCTATACCTTTGGAAATTGAGAGTTAAGCCTGTAAGAGTGAGGTAGAGAGATAGAGATAGAGAGAGAGAGAGAGAGCGATACGTGAACTCCTACCTTAGCTTTAAATATGACGTGTGTAGCTAGGTTATGCTATAGGATACGTGTGTAGGACCTATGATAGCTCGGCTAACCTATTAACTAGGCTTAGGTACGGCCCCACAGTGAAATGTGTAGCTACACTGTCGCTGTGTTGTGCTAGTCTTGTTTGGGTCGTAAAACTGGATTTGCCTCGATGTACTCGTTGATTGTTTTATTATTGTTTTATTGTCTTACAACACCACGGGCTTTCAAACTTTCGTCAAGGATTTGTACACATATTCATGCGCTGTGAAAGTTTTTTAATGGCTTTTAAGTTTTTAAGTTATTTTTAAGTTATTTTTTACCTGTTATTTTTAAATCACACATTTTACCAAAACGGTTTTGTTTTTGTATTTTGATGAGGTAACTAAATTTTAAAATATTTCAAGATTTTTCCATTTGTTGAATTAACTATTTAAATATGTTTTTTTCCATTTTCTTAAACGATAGAAAAATCATTTACCTTACGTGTCAAACGATCTATACATAGGCTACCTAAATAGTACAGATCTAGGCCCATTTATTAATGTATCGGGAAAACTGATATAATAGTTGTTTAAGTACTAGACTACATGTGTCACGGGAAGATCCGTGTATGTACTTAGCCAAAAGTTAATGAGAACACCTTTAGATTGTTATTTATAGATATTTGATTTGTAAGCTTGATATTATATAATAATGTAAACTATAGGACTTTTAGTCTCTAATCAATTAGCTGATTTAGCAAATCACCGCGTCTGATTATTAGTTTTTTATATTTTTATTTTGTTAATTCTGGCTGTATTTAAAACTTAAAGATTTGAAGTTGGTCAGGTATATGACAACATGACTGATGATACGAATAACATTAACAATAAGCGGTCATCCATTTCGAACGGCCACAACTTTTATAAGTTTTACACGCCCTCTTCACTCCCCCACCCCCCACATCAACACTTTTAATGCCCCCCCCCCCCCCAATTATGACTTTAATTGGTTTACTTTAATTAATATTTTTATATCAAGCAAAAACTGAGGTAGCGTATTAAAAATTGGTTTCTTGTATCGAGCTAAAGAAAGATTTTAAAATAGTATTTTCTCTAATGAGTAGCCACAATATATTGTTTCTATTCACTTCATTACTCGCTTACAGCAGAGCCACCCTAGTACTCGCCCCTTTACTCGTTACTAAATGAACTCGTCCATGACCTGAATGACACGAGAGTTCACAACAAAGGCAGCAGCCAATGATATTTGTGTAAATATTTTAAAAATTCGTATGTTTAAGAATAAGATACTTATTAAAATGTTATATGTCACAGCAAGCTCAGGTACCTACATTACTCGTGTTACATTCGTTTGTTTTAAACTTTGAATTGTTTTTTAAATACATTGATTTTTAAATACGATGATTTTTTTTAATAACTAATTGAATGAAATAAAAAAAAATTGAAATTATTTGGCTTGATTTGTTTTATTTTTTAAAGTTGTCTTATCACATCAACGTATGTACGGCCTAAAGTTGTCTTCACACTTCAACGTATGTGCGGTCCGACAACATTGCATTGAGCCCTGACGACGGTACAGCGGCTTTGATGTCGTCTATTTCGTCACACTGCTGGGGGAAGGGGGGAGAGCTCGAAAATTTGTGACAAGGGGGAGGAGGTCAGAAAGTGTGAGAACATCGTTTTACATTTTTAAAAAGGATATATTAGGAGATGATTTTTAGCCCGGTTTTTCCGATTTTAAAATTATTATCTTTGTAAATTAGAAAAACAAATTCATAAACTCAATGTTGACTGAATATTTCAGAAAGTATCGTGTTTTAAAAAACTAAAACTACAAAATAGAAGTGAGATTGCAGGCTTGACTGTGACGTCATTTAGGGGTAGGGGTTCGAGCTTTTTGTGATGATGTGTGACGATGGGGAGGGGGCAAAAATTTATAGAAAAAGCGTGGCGTCATTTATAAATCAGATGACATCTTTTTTTTTTCTTTTACCACCTTTGGTGATGAGGTGTATTCGTTGTCCACGTCATCGTGAATTACCTCTGTGATCTACAGTAAATATTTGACTGACGATCAGTTGATGGGGCGTGTTTGGTCATTTAATTACCACATTAATCTAGAACTTTATAGAGTGACTTTATTACTACCCCTTACCATGGTGTCGAAGTGTCTTTTTCTTGTTCGTCGATCTTAATTTTATAATGAAGGGGAATTTCTTCCAATAAAATTAAATATTACGTGTCACCATGTTTAAGCGCTATTTTGGCAAGTTGTCTCCGACTTCAGCCTACTTTGAAAGGCCTTTTATTTTTATTTAGAATCATGGAACTTTATGGGGGACGGTAAGACGGATTTAGTACCCTACCACACTGAAGAGTGTATTGATTACAAACCACATTGAAAGTGTATTAACTACACACCACAATAAAGAGTGTATTGACCACACACCACATTGAGAGTGTGTTAACTACACACCACCGTAAGGAGTGTGTTGATTCAACAGTGTACTGACAACACCACACTTAGAACCACACACCAAATTGAGAGTGTATTAACAACATCACACTTGAGAGTGTATTGACAACACTTCACAACACCATATTGAGAGTGTATTGATTACTTTCACCCCATCTTTGTACTCAGAGTTTCTTTCACGCATCTCTCAGGGCCTGTGAGAACCAACGAATCGCTTGGTGCTTTAGCTCTGGCACTTCTCCTATATCACGTGCCTGACACTGCTGTCATAGAATTGTTCCTTGATTGGAGTGAGTCAGTGGCGTAGCGAGGTCGGGTGTCACCCGGTGCGGCACTTAATGGTGTCACCCCCCAGAGGCGTAGTGACCCTTCCCGGGGACAAACTTTCAAATTTTCGATATGCACCCACCCCTCAAACTTTCGATTTGCACCCCCCCCCCCTCAACTTTCGATTTGCACCCCCCCCCACCCTCAACTTTCGATTTGCACCCACCTCCTAGATCCTTTCGATTAGCACCCCCCCCCCCTCAAGTTTTTCTCTATATATTTTTCTATTTTTTTGCCTTGGAGTCACCCCCCTAAATGGTGTCACCCGGTGCGGTCCGCACCCCCCGCCCTCCCCCTCGCTACGCCTCTGGAGTGAGTAGTGTGTTTTTACATGGCTATACATTTAAAACTTTAGCTTGTTTAAGTTTTATAAAAAGTAAATTCATTAGATTAAGGCAATCTTTGGGACGGTGTGGCCTAGGGGTAGAGCGGTAGTCTTCTAACCCGAAAGTCTTGAGTTAGAATCCGGATTCAAGTCAGTGGAACGTCCATAAGTAAAGGCTGCTGGGCTTAGAGCTGATCACATTAATCATTCATATGCCGAGGTCAAGAAACATATGAACTCTACTTCATCTACCCCATGGATCGCTAGGTCTAAAGAGGAATCTTAACGGTCATCTTTACGCCCTGGAACATGAAAAATATGTCGGCTTGACATCGATTATGTTGTCTCAAGTAGAATCGTAATCATTAAGTATAAAAATAATTTACATATTTTTTTTAAAAACTCCCACTGATTCTTATAAATTAGCACAAAAGCTTTATTTTTTAAATTCACAAAATATTTTAAAGTAATTAAGTGGAAAGGATATTTCCTTGACGTCACTCATCTATTTCGAGAACTCTTTTTATTCCCACTGACTTATT